ATAAATTCGATAAACTAGAGGAATTAAGTGCAGAATGGATTTACGTGAAAAAAAATGGGTTTATGCTAAAGGAAGATAAAAGAGTAATTTTATATCTCCATGGTGGTGCTTATGCTCTTGGTAGTATTGGGACTCATCGTAACATCATTTCGGGCCTTGCAAAAGCTGCCGATGCTCATGCCTTTGGTGAGTAAAATGAAAGTTTGATATTAATACGTTACAACGATCAGAATATAACAATCAATTATTACATAACCAAAGCTATTAACTACCGATTGGCTCCTCAAAATCAATTTCCTGCGGCCCTACATGATGCACTAGCTGCTTATTTATATCTTACTGATCCACCAAAAGATGCTGGTTTCAGCGCTATTAATCCTAAACAGATCGTAATAGCGGGTGATAGTGCCGGGGGCGGTCTTACCATTGCTACATTACTGGCACTACGCGATACTGGTTTACCGATGGTTGCTGGCGCTGTTGGTTGGGTTAGCATTCATACAAATATATATATATATATATATATATTATTTATTTATATGCTAGCGTTCAAATCAACACATTAATCATGAAATTTTTTATGCGTTTCCTAGTCACCATGGGTTGATCTAACACATAGTATGCCGTCCATCTTAAGCAGAGACTGCGACAAATCTGATTATCTTCCACCTTACACTTTACAATTTCATCCTTCTAAAGCTTTGGAGAAATTCCTTGAAAGATCCGCTGCACTCTCTAAAAAAATAAAACAATCAAATAAACCAAAGATATGGCACAAATCTTTTGAACGAGAAACTCGAGTCCAACTTTATGCTGCTAATGAGGCTGTGTCAATTCCTTATGTAAGGTAAGAGTGATCGTAATATCAAGTATAAATGAATCCAGTTTTCTTTATCTTAACCATTCATTTTGTAGTCCTTTGTGTGCCGAAAGTCTGGGTGGATTGCCACCCATATTGTTGGTATGTATTTCTTCTTATTACCATTTAAACATTCAATCTGGTCGATCGTATAATTTATACATGATACTATAGACTGCTGGTGATGGAGAAAGGTTACGTGATGAGGTTATTTATTTTGCATTCAAAGCTAGTCAACCTTCAAAGTATTTATTGCCAATATATAATGCTGGCAAGTTTGAGAAATCACCATTTAAAACACCTACAAATGTCATTCTTGAAATTTATGAAGAAATGCCCCATATGTTCCAGGTATATTATTTTCTTACATTTACCAGTGTACATAATCATTTTCACAATTAAATTTTTAATAAATAAATATACAGATGTTCGGATTCAACGAATTAGCTATATTTTCACTTCAGCGCACGGCTGAATTTATTCATGAAGCTGTTTCGTCATCTTCAGGAAAATCCACATTAAACCAAATGACAAACTCATCAAATTACATTAGAATCAGTACAAATAAGCAAATTTTGCCATTAAGAGAATGTCACTATTCGGTACTTGAATGGCTAAATGTTGGTTGTGCGCCACCTGTTAATGTGAAATCACCTAAGCAAATTAACAAAGCTAAAAACAGGTAAGTAAAAGATACTGATTTTATAGTAGTTTTGATATATGAAAGATATGTGACTAATTTATTT